CTTATGCATGCAAATTATATAATCTAGAGCCGGACTACTCAACACACAGCCCACATCTGGCCTGTGGCCCATTTGTTTGCAGCCCGTGGTGCAGTTTTACATGGGGTTCAACATTCAGCCTGCAGCTGGGATCCTTTGAACATTGCTTCCACTAGGAACAACACACTCCACAATGGCGTGTCAATATAATGGACCTCTATTGATATGTGTTTTGGTAATTAAATTCCTGGACTGTCATTGCACATTGAAAGTGCGGTCATATGGATAGAAATCAGATAAATATCGCATTTTATTAATATCAGCAGAACTGACTTAAATGAGGCCTGCGTGTTGCGTAGTCTTGCCTTTGTATTCATGACCGTCAGTGTGAAAGAAGCTATTTGCATATATTTGCATGCATATGCAACCACACTTATGTTGCAGCCCTCAGCATGTGCTGTGAGTATCATTGTGGCCCCCGGGGCTTCCAAAGTTGAGTAGCCCTGATCTAGAGGAATCCATGTAATTGTATAGACATCAAAGAAAGAAGCTGCTTTCTAGTCCTGAACTGAACTTGTGGAAATTCCAGCTACTAGGTATCCGCCCCTTCAGTATTTAAGCTTCTGCAGCTGAAATGTGACACTTTGAGAATGTTAGAATGCAAAAGCTTTTCCACCCAACCAGCCTTTGCTTTTAATTTCCTCAATGCACCAAGCTCCATCCTTTTCATCTCTGATGTAGTCTTTACCATGAATATAGTTATGCCCCCACCTTTTTCCTTTAGATATTTGCTCATATCTTCCAATCCTTTCATATCACCAAATTCTTGTTCCATCTTTCTGTTTATTTCCTCCTAAATGTCCCCATTTCTCCCCTCTAAACATGTACACACACACACACACTCACACACTCACTCCCCACCACGTTTCTCTTCTCTGAAGAGTCCTGGATCCAGAAGAGTGTTGTGGAATTAAATCATTAGAAAGCATTCAGCTATTTTCTTGAACTCTGAATCCTGGTCTAGCACTCTATACATAGGATATGGAGGCAGTCACCCTCATGTTTGAATCTTCACTGTCACAATGATTCGTGGCTCCAACAGCAATTCATTTAGGCCCCAATCCATAAAGGTACTTGGTACCAAAACCCCAGACATAGCTATAAAACAAACCAACAAACTCACCCCAAGGATCATGTAGCCTCTCCTCCTCCACCTAGAGAATGCCCTCACAAAATCCCATTTGCTGCTCCTGTTTCTATGCTTATAACAACTGGTGCCATGGGACCAATCACCACCACCTGCTTCTGGTCCTCTCCAATATTGCTCCATCTGCATCAGTGAACAAGTTACCTTGCATAATCTGCTCATGGTTCAAAATATGTCACATCAATCTGTTTAAAGATGCGTCTAATCCACAGATCTCAACACAACTCATTTGGCCAATTCCTCTAAAGAACCTCAATATCATTTCCAGATGGCATACCAAGTGTCAAAACAAGTTTCAAACACAGACAATGCCTATCTCTTGACAGATCCAACAGTCCAGTCCTTGGTTTTGATGTGCCACACTCTGTGGCCAAAGAACTGCAACAGCCACTGTAAAAAACTACAGCTGTAAGATAGAATTCACAAGCACTACTGAGAAGACAACCAGGCCCATGGATATAGTGTCTAATACTGACACAGTTAGGATGTCCCCAATCATGGAGAGTCAGCACTTTGCATATTGTATTCTAAATCATTCTTCAGGGTAAATTTTGATGTGACTATAATAACCATCATGGGTCAGACCAGTGGTTCACTAATCCCAGTATCCTGTCTTCCAACAGCAGCTGGTGCCAGGCGCTTCAGATGGAGTAGAAAGAACTGAGTAGTCATTCCGTCCCAGCTTCTGGTAGTCAGATTTAGCAATACATACAGCATGGGTTGTAAAGCTGACCACCTTCAGATGGAAATATCCTCCATGAACTTACCCAATTTTTTTAACCTAGTTATACTTTTGGCTCTTAACAACCCAGGGGAGTGTGTTGTGTGAAGTACTTCCTTAATTTTAAATCTGCTGCCTATTCATTTCATTGAGTGACCCCCAATTCCTGTATGTTATCTAAAGGGATAAAAAAACCTTTTCTTTTTCTTTCACACCATTCTGATTTTATAGACATCTGTTAGATTGCCCCTGCAATCATATTTTTTCAAAGGTGAACAGCTCCTCTTTATTACTCCTTTCAAATGTACATTATTTTGCACTTACCAATGCTGAAATTCATCTGCCATGTCGTCACCCAGTTTTGTAAGATCCCTTTAACTCTTCTCAGTCTGCTTTGGACTTCACTATCTTATTTTGTAACATCTGCAAATGTTGCCACTTCACTGTTGGCCTGTTTCTCCAAACTGTTTACGAATATGTTGGACAGCATTGGTCCCAGTACAGATCCCTGGGGGACACCACACTTTACCTCTCTGTCTGAAACCGGACCATTTATTCCTACCTTTTGTTTCCCATCCATGAGAGGACCTTCCCTCCTAGGACTCCTTACTTTGGTTAAGAGCCTTTGCTGAGGAACCTTGTAAAAGGCTTTCTGAAAGTCCAAGTACACTATATCCATTGGATCACCTTTGTCCACATATTTGTTGGCAAAGTCTTGGCTGCCATGAAAGATGTGACCAGAAGTCTTCTCTATAGCCTTTATACCTGTCCTTTCAATGGGCAGTCTTAACATGGCAAAGCCGAAACACCAGGTAAGTGCGGAGAAGACATCAGGGATGCAATTACATATATGTTGCCAGATTTGGCTAACGCCAAGTGCATTTGTCATCAACAAGTATTAGATTTTTAGAACATTCTCCCAATTTCCTCTCCCATAGGCTCCCCTTCAAAACAATTAAGACAAGCATCAGGAAATTAGATACAAACTCTGAGCTCTGCTCCCACCACTGCACAAACACTCCATTTCTGTTAGTGTTTTTAAAAGTGAAATAAGAGGGAGCTCATGAGATGGCAATGAATTAAGAGTAATTGGACCCTCTCACTGGCCAGTCTATTGGAGTCTTGGTTATCAGTGACCAAATGTATTAGCGTGAGATGGTCACCAGATTGGCCAGAGCTGGTTCACCAGCAGGCAGTTTTTATAAACCTTGGGGGAAAAAAGAATAAAAATACTTTTGGGGAATCTTATTTAAACCTCAGGAAATTTGGGAAGGAAGTATTTGATTGATTTTTTTTGATATCCTTATGTCAACAAACCCATCACGATTCAGACCAGAAGCATGGAAAAAGCTACTTTGCTTTTGACAAGGGGAAACAAAGAGGAAAAATACTGGCACACAGGCTTGACTAAAAGACAAAAATCAGGGTGTACTATTATTACTGTGGAGGCTCTTAATGACAGTTGTTCAGTTATCCTCTCCATAATTTTTTTTTAAGTCCTGGAAGGATTATATTTAATAACAAAAGCTAATATAGTGTGTAAAGCTACTAGTGATTTATAGATTTTTTTTGTGATTATACGTATGACCTTGATAAGCACCACTAATGAAAATTGCTACTTTTATTTTAATAGAAAAATCTAATTTAACCTTTTGGAGCAGCTCAGATGGGAATTCACATTGTGACAATACTGAATAGAATGTCTCTGCTTGCTGAAGGTTGCTAAGATCACACATGAAGTCAAATAATTCAGAAAACTCATCTATGATGAATTATTTTCAAGTGAAAAGACAGTAAGCAAATGATTCTAATACTCTCAAGATGCAGAAGATCATGAATGATCATTCGTACTCAGTCTTTAAAAGTCTTGAGGCAGATTTCTGAGACATAATTTTTGAAAAATATTATATTGTTCCCAATACAGATCAATAGATTTATACATTAGTAGGTTATCTGAACTCCTCTGAAGCCTTTAAAAATTAAGTAATTGTCAAATTAAAAATCCTCTTAATGGTAGAGAACATCTCTGAGTCTCTTAGTAGGTTCACAGACATGGAGATACAAACCAGCATAGATACTATTACATACAAAACCCTTTGATGTTACAATGTTACATTTGCAAAGTCAAGCCTTCCAAAGTTTGTAAATGCATGCATAAAGAATGCCCACACAACCTTAATTCAGCCTACTGGGGCATACATGCTATAATACAATCTATAATTATATGGATTACTCCATTTAAAACAGAAATGGAAACAAAAACCAGCTCCAACATGTGGAACCACATTTACCTCCACAAGGCTGCCCCACAGCCCCTTTGGCATCTCATCCCTCAGAAGTGCAATCAAGTCACTTCCTCTTCACCACCTAGGCAGAAAGTTCACAAGGCACACAGAAAGGTCTCTGACCTCAGTTCCTGTGCCCAGCACCATAGCCCCAGATGCCATGGCTCACTATGTCTACACTACACTTCTTTTTCAGAAAAAGGTACGCAAATTGCATTATGCAATTTGCGTAGCTTTTTCCGATTGTTTTTTTCGGAAGAGGCTTTTCCGAAATTTGGCCCATTACACCGGGCCAAATATCAGAAAAGCCTCCTCTTTCGGAAAAGCCCTTCTTCCTCATGAAACAAGGTTTACAGGGCTTCTGAAAGAGCGCATCTGCTCTTCAAAAAAACGGAAAAGCAGACACATTCCCTGGATGTGTCAGAGTTTTGGTATTCCAGAAAAACTCCATAGTATAGACATAGCTTGGGAGAAGAAACTGCAGAGTCCTACAGAATCCTGGGAGAGGACTATACTCAGTCACTTTGTGGTGATGGTCTTGTGCAGCCTGATCAAATGCAGGAGCTAAGAGGATAGAGCATACCTAGTGCAGACGCAATCCTCTGAGAATACAGCTGCCAAACTGACATGCTTTTATGTGCAAAATCTGATGTTTGGAGGCTCTTAATCAAATTTGGGCAGATTTTCATGGGAACAGCAAAAGACACATCCCTGAGACACATCCCTCTGCTACATTTCAAATCCCTGCTTCAAAATATGGCTGTGCTAGATCTTCTCAATAAAACGGTTTTAAGCCTTTTATTAAAAAAATACAAGCAAAACCTCGTGCTCAGTAATGGCTAAACCATTTCTGCTAAAACTTTCAAATACATTCACTCTGGGACAGACACTTGGCGTGATACATTCAAACTGAAAAGGTTCAAAGTTAAGGAAAGTTACAAGTCAATTAAAAACAGGACCTTAATAGGAAGCATTAGGTAAGCTTTAACAAACTATAAGCTATGTTTAGATAAGTTCAGCATAATTTTAAGTCAGTTCGCTGTATAACCAGCCACTAAGTATCAGTTTCAACATAAAGTGACAGTATCCACAATGTACAATGACTGAAAAAAGATGCAATGGTTCCCTCTAATTTGTATGTCCATGTGCAGAATGAACTTTGTTATGTGCTCCAATATGAGACCCATCACTTCCATACTGGTGCAAACAACATATCTCATTCTGTACATGGACAATCTGTGGTGGGGATAGGGCTGTGGAATTCAGAATATGGGGGGAGGGCTCAGGGTTAAGGGGAATGAGGGTACTGGGTCAGGCTTAGGGATGAGTGTTTAGGGTATAGGAGGGGGCTTCCAGGTTGGGGCCAAGAGGTATGGAGTGTGGTAGCAGGCCCAGGGCAGGAGGCTGGAGCGGGGGTATGGTGTCAGGGCAGGAGTTAGGGTTCAAAATGGGGCTCAGGGATGAGGTGCGCGATCTAGGAGAGAGCTAGGGTGTGGGGTCTAGAGAGAAAGGGCTTGGGATATAGGGTGCTTATGGGGGCAACTCCCATTTGATGGTGGTGGAGAAACAGGTGGCTCGATGCTACCCCCCACAGCTCCTACTGGCCACAATTCCTGGCCAATGGAAGCTGCAGAGAGAGTTTTCCAGTGCTCAGTGACACTGCTTCAGCTGGGGAGGAAGGAATGGCAGCACATGGAGCCTCCTCCCACTTCCCCTCACACACACTTACCATTGAGGGCTGGCCCAGAACACAGGTGTTTATGGTCTACAGCCCAGGACCTTGGCCAAATGGGCAGGGCTTAGTTCTGGGCCCTGGGCTGCAGCTCCTAAAGCTCCTTTCTTTAATCTGGTCCTGCTACGGTGGCCGGAGGAGCATGGCTCTCCTCCAGCCCAAACAGGGAGCTGCCATGGCTACTCCAGCCTCAGCAGGGAGGTGCCATGGCCAGAAATAGATGTGCTCCTCCGGCCCCAGCAATGCCAGAAGGGAGCTGCCGGATCAGAGAGAGTGGTGAACAGCTCTGGCTCCAGCAAGGACAGGCAGCTGTCTGGGGAGAGGTCCTTCTCCCCAGGCCATGACAGCTCTGTGCGCATCAACCCTGAGCCCATGCAGGGTTTATTAGGAGGCCGCACAGCTTAGAGTAAACCAAGCACTTGGCTTTAACAACAGTCAAGAACTGATTTGGGACAATTTGAATTTCAGCTTGCATTTTTTAAAATTTGTTTTCCCCAAGTGATTTAGCACGTTTTCAAAACCAGCAAATTAAACCAGGAACATCAGAGAAATAAGTGCAATTATAGGGTGAAGACATCCACAATTAACAACCTGGTAAAACTTAATGTGACAGTGTAGGATAGCTGAATAGCAAACTAATCAAAATAATTGTTTTAGCAAAGACTCCCTGTTGAGCTGAGAATAAGCAGATCTGCCACATTAAAAAAAAAAAGTTGTGCAATGTTACTTCTTTATTTAGTAGGGAATCAATTATATAGTAAAACTATAAGCCGCTCTAAGGTAAGTCTTCAATCCTTATTTTTTTCAAGACATAATAATCCTCATGAATATCTTTCTAAGAGCTACATTCCAACACATTAATCTTCCCTCTGACAATATGAGCTGTGAAGAATTTGGAAAAGAGTCTTCGGTTAAACCACAATATAATCCCAGACTTTTATTATTTGACTTCACCAGCTAAATTATCAAAGGCAAAACAATGGGTATGGAAAGAAAAAGGAAACTGGTGCTCATTTCCCCCTTCATTAACTATTTCTGTTTGTAGTGTCTCAAGCATAGGTAAAAGTAGCTTTCAAAATCATTCCCCAAATCCCCACCAATCTTGTAAACAAGTATGACATTAGTACTTTACAAGATTGTTTGGCCAAAACTACTTTTTAGTTTTAATAAATTTTTGGGCTTCTTTCAACAGTGTTTCAACATCTTCAGGATTTGGCTCCCAATCAGAATCTTCATCCGTAGGGTCGTACTCCTCCTCTTTCTCCTCGTCATCTAGAAAGCTGTCATTCAGGTCATATTCATTTGGTTCGCCATCATTATCACTGTCCTCCTCCAAAATACTTTTTCCTGTACAGGCCAAAATGTAGAGAGTTTAAAGTATGTGTGTCAAGTGCTGTGGAAAAAATTAAATTCGTGGGGCACTTCTTATAATGTTGTTAGCTCAAGAATTACAAATAATTTTACTTTTTTAAACCAGAAATTACAACTATTATAAAACTATGGGATTATTTAGCTGTTCTATTAACATAATAGATTGCACTTAAGTAATGTTTATAGCACTTTTCATCCCAGGATCCCAAAACCTTTATAAATATTCAGTAAGCTTCTCATCACTATGACACATTATGCCTCACTGACATCCTGTACCCCATGTTCACCACTTTTATACAATGATATTTTTTTACCAAGTATGCCTTAGGAGGTATTTGAAACATTCTACTGAACACAACTCACGTGTTAAAACATGCAAATCAACACCGCACAAGGACCTACAAGATCTTGCTATATGATTGTTTTTGAAATATGCTGTAGTTCTGGGTAATGCCCTCAGACCATTATCTCAAAGACAAAGGCACGTTTGTCAGGTCCGCTAGGTACAAAAAGACAGTTACCTGATTAACTGGAGAGTCACATGCAGGGGAGGTGCAAACAAGAAATTTACAACTCATCTGAAGGACAGCTGGTAACTCACATGGGTCATGGAACTGCCTGATCCCAAGACCCAGGAAAGACTTTTCCAGAATAAAGGGTTATGTTGTAAGAAGTGGGAAAAAATGTCTCTAGATACCTCTCCTCCCAACAGCTCTACTTGCACTTTCTAAGTGAGATTGCTTGAAAGAAAGGCAAAGGGGCATCACTGAATGGCAGAGAGTGGTTCTGGCCTGGGAGGTTTTTCCAACCAGTACAATCTACTAATGCTTTTGGGCGAGCAACTTTTTTACTTTTAAATTTACTGCCATTAGTAAACGTTTAGGAATTAACCTGCTTGTTTATTTTTTATTTCTTGTGCAACCCTCATACCTTTACCTCTTCTGACTGTCCTACCTTATCACTTATAACCTATTAAAATCTCTCTCTCCTTAATAAACTTGTTTTATTGTTTTATCTAAACCAGCATGTTTGAATGTTTGGAAAATCTCTACTCTGTTCAAGAGGGCTGGTGCATATTCGTTATCTTTTGTTGGAACGATGGGCTTATTTACGTGTGTACGCAGTTCAGTATACTGAATGATACAACACACATTTCTGAGTGAGGGAGGAGAAGCTTGGATTAAGAGATACATGGATGTCACCCTGTATCTATTCATGGAAAGCTGGACATAGCATTCATGTAGTAATCGGGGAGTGTCTTTACATGCTGGTGGCTGTAGTGAACAGAGCCTAAAGGGACTTGCTGTTCTTTAGCCAATCAGTGTAAAAGAAATCCCAGTCTAGAGAGACGGGGACACAACACTTCAGGTTGCACTTTGAGAAGAATGTCAAATGGCCACTATAAAATATTATTTCCATTTTTCTGATAGGTGAACTGTGGCACAGAGAAATCAAAAGACTGCTGGAAGGCACACAGCAATCCGTGGAGGAGACAAGAGCACAATCTAAGAAAACCGAGTCCTGAGCCCTCAGAATCCTAACTAAGGAGTGGACAAGACAGCCTCTGGGGGCCAGATCCAGCCTGCCAAGCTGGTGGACACAGTCTGAAGCTTCCCTGCCGCTTCCCCATCCCCAGGCCAATCGAGACGTGGGGATGGGGGAGCATGTGAAGTCTCCCCCCCAACAGAGGGAGCCGTCGGCTGTTTTAAAACAGCCAGCCAGTCTCTTTAACTATTGCATACCCCTGGCAGGGTGGGGGCATAGAGCAAGCGACTTTGCACACTCTCCCCGCCCCCAGTCCCTGATTGGACTGGGGGAAGAGGGAGCTCATGAAGTCTCCTTCCACTGTGGCACCTAGAGGGAACCGCCAGCCGTTTTAAAACAGCTGGCAATTCTCTGGGGGTGGGAGCAAAGACTTCACATGGTCCCCCACCCCCAAGCCAGTCAGGGTCTGTGGGCCGGGGAGCAAAAGAAGTCTTCTTCCCCCATCCCTTCCACCCAAGGTCCTGTCTCTTCCAGGGGGCCCAGGGCCACTTCAGAAATTTATTAAGAGGCCCCTTTTTAAAAACTATTGCCCATCCCAACCTAGCATCAGTTCAAAAAAAGAACAACTAAATCATTTCTATCCAACACCACTAACTTCACTGCTGAAAATGGAATCGATTGTTACAAAAGTCACTGATGGCTTACGGAGCAGCTGATTCATTAGGGTCCACAGAGAAGTGGAAGGTGTCTTAAATACAGTACAAACAAAATCGCTACCATTTCACACAAAACAATTAGAGGAGTGAAAATACAGTAAAGCTGCCAAAGGAAGGAAAAACTGGAAATAAGCAGACATGCCAGACTGAACAAAGGGGAGGATGGAGAAGAAAAATAGAGAGCTGCAGCAGAAAACTGGAAAAGAAAAAAAAAATCTATTGATTCCACTGTGCCCCTCTCTTTAAAAGGGCTGAGTCGTCTCATATGAGAGTGATTTTCAGAAGCACTTGCAGTTCCAGGGATTTTTATAAGGGCTGCAGGTGTTCAAGCTTTTCTGAAAAGTCTCCCATAATTGTCCATTAACCCCCCCCCCACACACACATCCCTGCCCGGTTAAGAAAACTGCCTGCTTCAAGAGTGTTTGGCAAGAATGATACTGAGCCTATTATAGGTCACACTCTGCACCTCTTACACCTGTTGAATATACTCATCAAGTAGTTTCAATGAAAGATATGGTGGGATCTTTGCAGAGTAGTTTACTGCTCAGTGTGAGTAATGATGGCAGATTGATCCTTTTGGATATAAGTAACCTAGAGATTTGAAAAAAATCCCCTTCACATTCAGAGCACTACTTGTAGCACCTTTATTTTAAGTGAACTGTTGTGAGGAGCCGCTGCCTGCTTTCAGCAGCCTGTTGATAATGTGCCACTGTCCTACAAATAGTTAAAATGGTTTTAAAAAGATCATCTTGTCATTTTGCTTGGTTTTCAGACTCCAGCAGAGAACAGCGTAGGTGTTTCCCCCTCCCTAGGAAGTTTACTCAATCCCCTGGCTTTTAAGGAAGCTCATTAAGCATTCAGTCTGACACAACAGCCTCTTGTATTGGCACCACATTTATCCTGATGACCTCGAGGCTTTTTTCATTAAAGGTGTATTTACACAAAAGCAACTGCAAGAGGATGCAGCATATAAAACACTATTCTTGGGAGGTAGGTGATTTGCAAAAGTTGTTTGTAAGAATATTCCCTATAGCTGACAGCCTGAACAGATCACTCATCTGGGTAGAGGAAGAATAGACAGGCAAAAATTTGCAAAAAAAAAAAAGAACAGAGTCAATGGCTACTTCTAGTCTTACTGATCCCCTTCTGCTCTTGTCCTTGCAGCACTACCCTTAGATATGGTTTCAAACCCTGGCCTCTTAGTCTCTAGGTCAGGGCCAGGCAAAATATAGCCTGAAGGCCAAATCCAGCCTGCCAAGCGCACTGCAGGAGTCTGTCAGGCTCCCTGTCCTCCCTGCTCCTGCTCCCTCAGAAAATCCAGCTGGGGGAGGAAGGGAGAGGCTTTGTGAGTTATTCCTGCCCCAAGCACAATTTTGCAGCTCCCACTGGTTGTTCAGACACACATGGTCCCAAAACCAGCCCATTTGAGAGGTGTGCCAGGTCATGGAAGACAGGGAGGCTGGCAGCAGAACCTGTCAGGCTGCTGCCTGGGAGTCACAAAGGTAAGCGTCTCACAGCCAGGGCCTGCCTCTGGCACTCCAGCCCCTTCTCCCCCCCCCCACCACCCTTTGCCCCCTTCACAGACCCTGTACATCAATTCCCTACCCCAGGTCACAAACCCATCTTGCCCTAGGTTACAACCCAAACCCCTTCATCTCCTCCTGCACCCCTGTTCCCTGCCCCAGGTCACAACCCCTCTCTTCACCCAAACACTCTCCCAGATCCCACACCCTCTCCTGTACCCCAATCCCTTACCCCAACCCACAGTTCTTCCATTAATATCATAGAAGAGTACGACCACTTACCAAATTCTTAGAGTGGTCTCCATCAAAAATTATTGCCCATCCCTGCTCCAGGCTCTAAGCAGTTAGCAGTCCCTTTGGTGGCAATTAGGATAATGACTGAGAACTAAAAATGTCAAATGTCATCTAATCAGTACCCGTCTCCTCTTGCTTGCTAGCGTTTAAATGTGTTTATATGGAAATGTCAGCGCTACTCTGCTTAACATTGCAGCTGTGCCACACAGCATGTATTAAAGGTTAAAGGAACCCTATCTACCAGATAGTCCTAGTAAGCTGCGTGTCCTGTGTCTCAGATGTGACCTCACTGATCCTAGCCTTTTACAAGCTTTGGGAGCAGCCACCGGAACCAGGAGAGGGGGCATTTTTAGAAGGTTAGCAAACGTGAACCATTGCGGGTTTGTAGTTATTGCAGCTGTGTTGGTCTCAGGGTATAAGACACATGAAGGAATATCTTTTATTGAACTAATGAGCAGGGCCAAGACACCAGCTTTTGAGCTTCACAGCAATACTAGGTTGATCTAATAAAATATATTCTCACCCATGTCTAGCAATGATTAACAGCATTTTAATTAAGTTACCCAAAATATCAGGAAGAAGGAGACATGAGCATAAAGACACAGAATGTGAGTTTACAAACACTGAAAGGCCTTGCCTCTAATATGCAGAACACTGAGGGACAACCTAAGCTATTGAGTGGGCCACATGAGTGACCCTCCTTCATATCAATGGGCCACAAGATTGTCAGAACCAAGAGGGTCTCCCACCATAGGGCAATTTTTGGTAACTGCACTTGTGTACTAGAATTTGCAAAGCGAGCCAATTAAACCATAGCAGTACTTCGATTGGATGCAGAGGGAGCACGTGGCTCTGACAATGCATGTGGTCAGCATGCACCTCACTTCATGTGCCCTTCATTAAAGTGTGTGTCACTTTAGTAATCACCACAGGAAAAAAAAAAACTACCTGGATGGAAACCAGCAGACTCATGGACTACACATAAAACACCAATGGGCCACATGTGGTCCTCAGGCCACTGCTACTCCCCCCCCCCACCCCCCTTATTCCAACATTGTCTTATAGCTTTTCATGGTTAGCTAGCCATCTGCCTGGGTTCTCTCTCTCCCACCCCACTACAATGGACAAGCTACAAGTTACTGAATTGTTTTTTTTGTAGCTGTCCATGCCATCAAAAAACCCTCAATTTTTTTTAATGCAAGAGGGACTTAAGGCATTACACAACAGGATAACACTATGCAGAATGACTCAAACAGGACTGGATCACAATGTCATGAGCTACCTGTGATACTGCAATTCCCACAATGCCACAATAAATGGTTCACAGGGAAGCAGCATTGCCACAGTGTGATGACATCAAAAATCAGCTGCTGTGGAACTAGATACTATATGCAAACATCTTCAATTAAAGCTTTTCCAAGCTACTCATGGCCTCTAAGGCAACTAGGATTTCCATCCATTCTGAAAAAGGTCCAACACTCCCACTTTAACTAGCCTGTAAACTGAGCTGTCGAAGAACCTTGCATTTGTTTTGCATTTCATGCTGTAGAGTCATCTCAGTGTCATACAGTTCATCTCATTCACACACGAGACGCATTTTATTGTGAGCCAACTCAGAACCTGCAGTCAGATGGGAAAGTTGGGCCTAATTCCTTCAGACACACATATGTACCCCTGCTAACATCGTAATAGGAATTGTATGTGCATGTCCTCCAGGCAGATTTGGCTCTAAGTAGAGCTGATTTTAGTATTTTTGTAGAGGCCAGGGAAGCAACTGTTTGCCTGATGCTTCAAACAAAATTCATGTTTACTATTGTCACAGCAGCACATACAGGACCTCTGGGATGGTGTGTGATGGGTTGGACCACAGAAGTCCCCTAGGGTATGTCTACACTACCCCCCTAGTTCGAACTAGGGGGGGAATGTATGCATACCGAACTTGCTAATGAAGCCCGGGATTTGAATTTCCCGGGCTTCATTAGCATAAAACCGGCTCCGCCATTTTTAAAAGCCGGCTTGTTCAAACCCCGTGCTGCGCAGCTACACGCGGCACGGGCTAGATAGTTCGAACTATGTAGCCATTCTGATCTATCTGTACACCTCGTTCCAGTCAGAGCTTATCTTTTCTCTGGCCTGGGTCTAACCCAGGAGTGGGGAACAAGAGGCTTGCCTAGGTCTGGCCCGAGGCTCAGGGCTCCTTCTCCCGCAGTACGGAGCTGGCACTCCAGCCCTATCACCCGCAGTTACTGCCCAGACCTCACACCTGCCCTCCGCTTCTGCGCCCTACCTCCTGCCCAGCCCGCTCCTGCACTCTCCAACTCTCTCAGAACCACCAATCCCAATCCACTTCTGCACCCTACCTCCTGCCCAGACCCTACACCCCAAGCCTGCTTCCTGGCAGCACACTCCCATACATCAACCCTCATTTTTGGCTCCTCCCTGGAGCGTAGGGAGCCCCACAAAAATCTACTAACCTGGCCCCCTCCGGCTCTGGTGTGCGAGGGGAATGAGGGTTTTGTTTTGGGAGGTTTTTGCTTCTAACTTCTATGCTGCCCTTGACTGATTTTTCTGTGGGTCAGCCCAACCCCGGAACAGCTTCTCCCACTGTTAGGCTTCGTCTACACTGGCAGCTTCTTGCGCAAGAATTGTTTTGTGGAAGAGTTCTTGCGTAAAAAGTCTTCCACAAGAGCACGTCTACACTGACATGTGCTTTTGCGCAAGAGCGTCTATAGCAGCGTGGACGCTCTCTTGCACAAGAAAGCTCTGATGACCATTTTAGCCATAGTGGTTTCTTGCACAAGAAATTCGTGTTGCCTGTCTATACTGCCCTCTTGCGCGGGCTTATTCCTCATGAGGCGAGAATAACTCTTCTGGAAGAAGCCCTGTTTTCCGATGCTAGACTGTAAATTTACTTGCGCAAGAACGGGCGTGCAGTGTAGACACCCAGTAAGTTTTTGTGCAAGAACAGCTGTTCTTGTGCAAGAAGCCGCTAGTGTAGACATAGCCTTAGTGTTTTTTGTTTTCAGGTCTCTCCTCTTAGGGTAGGGAAGCAGTTTCATAAGCCAGCTGAAGACCATCCTTGTTTGCTCCCTTACATCCCTTGTTTTCTCCCTAGGGCAGGAATCCTTTCCTCAAGTCTCCACTGCTCCCACCCCAGAAAAACACCAGATTCTAGATCAGGGCAGGCAACCTATGGCTCAGTAGGGCGAGAGAAGGCTGGGGGGAGACTGTGGAAGCAGCCTGGCTGGGAAAGGGGGAGACAGGGGCAGAGGTTGTACAGAAGGAGATGGGGAAGATTCATTGGCAGCTTCCCCCACCCCAGGGGGAAGGAGTATGGGGCAGAGGTGACTCGTGGCACCAGCTCCTATGCCCCTGACAAAATTTCAGTTGCTAAACAGGGTGCCCCACATGCCTCCTCTGTGGATGTCCCTCCCTGTGCAGGCTCCAATCACCCCTGAGGGAAGGGCTGCCCCACCCAGCAGATAGAGGGGATTTTTTTTAAGTGTTGTAGGTATTTGTAAACACTGATCCATTACAACATGTATTGTGTGGGTGTACAGATGCGATGTAAAAAAACCTGACCTCTTAAAATGATTTACAATCATGAATACGCAAATATGCAAATAAAATGTTACCAGTCCGCCAAAAGTTTGTGAATGGGTTTGCCAGTCCACAGTATAAAAGAAGATTGGGAACTACTGCATTATTTGAATATACCAGTAGTTCTCCAAGTGCGGTCCATGGGCCACTAGTGGTCTGTGACTATCTTGCAGTTGGGACTCCGGCTGAGGGCTCACTTGTGAGTCTGCACTGACCCTCCAGCCCCATGCCTCCCCCGCAACAAGGTTTAAGTGCCAGCTTCCTGCTTTGTGGGGAGCAGGGAGTCTCACAGGCCAGATCCTGCTTGCTGGGGGAGGAAGTGGTTGCATGCCCTACCAATTCCCCTCCCCCTGGCTGGGGGAATGGCAACACAGGAAACCTCTCACTTGGAGGCTTTCCCTGCTGCTCCCCTTGGAGCACAACCAATGGGAGCAGTGGGGAGAGGTGTCTGGGAGCAGCGAGGGACATAGAGCCAGGTAAAGGCTCCCCCAACCCTCTCATACCAAGATCCCTACCTCCATACCCCTCACACACATCCTTCCCAGCCAGACACCACCCACCTGGCACCATCCCTCAAATTTTGTCATCATGGATGGTTGGCTGGTGGTCTACGGACAGGCCTGCATTGAACCGAGTGGCCACAGGCCAAAAAGTTTGAGAATAACTGGAAGAGACTCTTTGCAGGAGAGGAACCTCTTGAAGCACAGGAGAACTGGACATACATGGGAGGAAGGGCGGAGGGGATGGAGGAAGATTGGTATGACCCTCTAGTAGTGAAGAATATGGAAGAGATGTTCTTTCCACTTCTTCCTCTTTCTTTTTATTTTTAAACTCAACTCAAAGAAGTTAGAATGTCTTCTAAACACTACTGAGCTACCCTCCCCTAAAAGGGGAAACCCTAAACTGAAGCTTTTTCTTTTTTTATCCAACACAGTAATTAAACACTAAGAACAACAAAAGCACAGAAACAACTACCACTTATGCGAATGATATAGATAAGAATCAAATTGAAATCGAATAATTTCCATCTTTGATTAGTTGATAAGGGCGCTTCCACTTTGAAATGTAGGAAGAGCATGCCCAGCTGTTGCTACATTTCAAAGGCACAAGTGCCACATGATGTTCTGCGTTTGAAACTTACAAGCCCAGCAGGGGCTCTTGTGCAATTAAAAGATTGAAACATAGCATGGAGCCCGGGGCAGTGAGGGACTCCAAGTCCCTTACTGGCCCCAGGCTTCATGCAGCGCTTCTGCTTGGAAATGTACACGAGTCCCAGTAGGGACTCGTCTACATTTCAAAGATGGAACGCCATCGCTGTGCTCCTGCCCCCTCCCACAGAGCTGGAGCTGGAGAGGGAGAACCAGCTTTTACCTGCTCCTCTTCTCCCCGCTCTACTGCCTCTTTCTGATAGAGGCAGCAAGGGGGGGCGGAAGGGACTAGTCGCTTACATCCCTAATCAATATTTCAGATACAAAATTAAACTTGAGACAAGGACATTGGCACACGTGTACATGAACACAATGCAAATTACCTTCATGTTATTTAGAACATAGCTTAATGCAAAAAGGACTACATCAGTGTTTGGGACTATCAACCTTTGCTGGGCAAACTAAGCAGCTGTAAGTGAAATACTGATTCCTTTTATCTTATTGACTTTTACCTTGAAGAAATATTACAGGACCAATTGGTTAAGCCACTCAATGTTCATCTTTAGAGCTTAAAAAAAACTTTGCAGTTTCCAGAGAAAAACTAGGTGTGCTTATCTGAACCATATCTGTGTAGATCACCCAACTTTAAGAGATTCAATGAATATCCCATTTTTTATTGTTCATGAAAGAAAAGAATGCACTCCCCCCAACTAGAGACCTAGCCTTCAGGGTAAAGTGCTCCAATATTACACCTTTGCTGAGTGAAACCACACATCTAACCTGCTTTGTCTTTCATGTGCATGATTTAAAAAAAAAAATCATAACATTAACTCAGGTTCATTTAGAAAATTAGAATATTCGAACCTCTTTTAGTAGTTTTCTGTCTGGTGGTTCTTGCTTCCGTTTCTAAATGAAAAAATGCTATAATCAGAAACAACAATCTAGCAGAACTCTTTAACTTGTCAGTAACAGAGATGGCAAAAAGTACATTCCCATATTTTAACTGAGTGCTGCAGTGACTGTATTTAGTGTGTACATTTATGTATATATGAGGTCTTTTTCAGATTTCTGGTCACTTCCCTAGATGGCAACACTTTCATAAACACCTTTTCCAGGTTTGATCCCATACTTTTTCTGTGACCACTCACCAGGCTGCTGTTTTGGGGTCCGACTTCACTGAGTCATGTGAGCTTTAAGCTTCCCGAGTCTAGGCATTGGCCATGTACCACTTCTGGCTGGGGATTTCCGAGCACATCCTCAGGTTACAGACCCTCTGTCTAAAAGTCAGCCATTCTGAGATCTAACACCCAGCAATCCAACTGCCTAGACTCCCAAGGCTAATGCCAGCTCCCCATAATTCTTCAGTTACTTAAGTACACTCTTTTCCAGGGCTACAACCCTGTGGGCACGCTGGTTTACTGTTCAGGAACATATAATAGCTAAAGTTATTACAGAAGGGGAAAGGATAGCTCAGTGGTTTGAGCATTGGCCTGCTAAACCCAGGGTTATGAGCTCAATCCTTGAGGAAGACATTTAGGGATCTGGGGCAAATCTGTCAGGGATGGTAATTGGTCCTACTGTGAGGGCAGGGGACTGGACTTGATGACCTCTCAAGGTCCCTTCCAGCTCTATGAGATGGTATATCTCCATATATATATATATATATAAAGATTTTTAAAAGTTTTAAATATAGCAATAGATTTGTATGTTTGCATTACTTTTTTACGTGATTGTGTTATTCAAAAACAGACAGGGTAGGTGAGGTAGTATCTTTTATTGGTCCAGCTTCTATTGGTCACAAGCTTTTGTGTTACGCAGAGCTATTCTTCAAGTATGGGTTATTGGAATATCTCTTGCAGAGATAACACTACCATAATTCCTAACTCGGGAAACTCTGCACAGTGGTATTACATGTGCATAATTGTATTAAATTTAAAATCTTGTATTGTTTGTGAGATTGATGGGGGGGATTTATGTTTTTTTCTTTAAAAAACATTCAAAAAGAAAATTTGATATTCTTTAAAAAGTAACGAATTGCAATATTTTTCAATGTTAAGTTTTCAATAAATATAATGATTTCAACTTGAAATAGTAGAAAAGTTACTTTTTAATGAAAGCTTAGATTCAGTCCTGATTAAATTGTCCAACACCTAAAGAGGAACTAAGAAAATACAATTGGAACATAGTTCTTCAATAATATTATAATATAGTCAGAACTTTTATATACATAATATTCATTTGAATGTGTAATAAATACGGTGATAAGGTCAACAACATAATACATAATTTGTTTCCTTTTACTGACAGTGCCCTATGTAAAAAATCCAAGTCTCTCAGATTATAGAATTATGGAAACATTAAGTTTTCAGAACAAAATCCACCAACTGATTCAAATATCTATTACTTTTTGGTGTTTCCATCTGCATCATGTACACATCACATTGTTGGCATTTGAGCCAACTAGTGATATTACTCAGATCAAATACATTGAAAATAGCAATGAGAGAAATCTTAAGTGAAGTAGAAAAGCAATCATCTTTACTGTGGACAACTGCAGGGAAGGAACTGAAGCATTAGTACAGTAAAACTCCATTGGTCCGGCATCCAATGCTCTGGCACTGAGGGGGTGGGGGAGGCCAGACAATGGGAGCTGCTCTGTGCCCGGCTTCCTCGATTCAGCCACTGCTGAAACTGACCAGCAGCTGAAGCTGGGGGCAGAGCAGCTGAGGTGCTGCCGGGTTGGTCCCCCAGTGCTGCCCCTCGGGGCTGCGGGACCAACCCGGCAATACCCCAGCGGCTCCACCCCAGGCATCCCCAAGTCAGCCGCTGGTGAAACTGATCAGCGGCGGACTCCGGGAAGCCGGGGGCCGAGGAGCTCCCAATGGTTGGCGGCCCAGGGGCCT